TATCTATCTATCTATCTATCTATCTATCTATCTATCTATCTATCTATCTATCTATATATCTATCTATCTATACGTCACTACTCTCTGAAAAATCTATTCTCAAATCCCTCACCATCGATCCCCACACGTCTATTTACAAATTGCCAACCTCTTTTCTCCAAACATCTGTTCCCAAGTGCCTTCATTTCTTCATACAGAGCAGGCTTTCTCCTGGCGGTATCATGATCAGATGGCTCTGGTTCTCATCTCCAGTGAAGGGTTCTAGAACTTTGATTTTTTTCTCCAGGAGATTACCTAAAGTCCTATCGGAGATAGAAGTTGATTTCTGACGGGTGTACTAGCCAATCCAATGACGTGTGATTTTTTTTACTTATTATTGATCTTCATCTTATTTGTCTCGACCCGTCATAAAATTGGAGCATACCATATCTAAAATCACTAACATAGGCTTAGTGCAGGAATATCTTTTACGACTTTTAATGATTGATGAACAGAGTGATAAGTGGAGCAAAAAAATAAAGACTTATAAAACATGCCTGTAAGAAGTAGGCCTATATATGCACTACTATTCAATATTCATTAGTCACACAATGGGCTCATGATTCCCGAATATCAAAGGGCAGCTGGTGACTTTGCAAGAAATTCACAGTAGGCATACGGAATGAGCTCCCATGCCGACGGGCTTATATACACACAAAAAAGAAGAAGAAAAAAAAAGGAAAAGAATTTGAACACGGTATTCGAATAGCAAGAATAGTCATTTCACGCTTCGAAGCGTCGATGAAGGTTTGTTTCCTCAAAATCACATAGCACTAGTTAAGTAAACTCGTACAATAACCGTTTCGTTGACCAACTGATAAAATGTACTCAACCCAATATTTTGACCAAACAATTTGCAGTTTCTTTATCTGTGCTATCGATTGCATGTGTGCAGGAAGAAACACTTTGCCGACGTTCAAATTCTAAATGTTGAAAAAGGCAAGGGAAAAATTCATAATGCAGGTACAATTGGTTCAAAATGAAAACGTTTTGTGTCTTTTGTTTCTTTTTGTCCGAGTTTTTTTCCCCCTCTATCTATTGAAAAAAAATGTTTCTTTCTGGGCTAAGCACATTTCAACAGTTTGCCGGCGATTTGTCGAGTTCCCCGTACTCATCCATAGAGTTATCTCTTTTTTAGCCTACTAGTATAAATCTATGTATACTCACCACAACAAGTCCGTACTCCGGGGGTATCCTCGTGTCCTCCTGGTCAAACCCCGCCATTCGCTTACTCCTCCTTCTCCTCTTCCTCCTCATTGGCCGCACGTACACCCTGTCCCTTTGATGTTTCCCGCCAGTCAGGAGGAGCTGCTGTCTCTCCGACTTCCGCTGTGAAATACCCTTACTGTATAAGCGACCGAACTTGCCTCTGTCAGGAGCGGATGAGTTTCTGAAGAAGTTTGGGTACTCAGAAGAAGCTTTCAGGCTTAAATCTTTAAGGCCTGGGCGTAAAAAGTTGGTTGAAGGTGGGCGTGAGAGTAGGCGTTTTGGTCCTTTAGCGGAGTAGCTGTCAATAGGGATGTTTTCTATAAATAGTTTGTCTTCATTGGGGACCAATGAAAGGGCCTTTTCTGCTCGAGGGGAGGAGCCACGGCGGTGATGGACACGCGCTGAAATATGGTGGGCGTACTGAATGTCGTGAAGACTCTGGGGGCCAGCTGGATTCACCGGGATCCGAATGGGGCGTGGTTTGCTATTGATGACAGACGCCTGCGACACGCCCCTGATGTGACCGGTGAACTCCTCCAAAATGGTGGCTGAGGGCGAAGATCATAATATTGTATTATCTTTATATATTATGAATATGCTTAGGTTCTCGAGGAAGTTTGAAAAATCTACGACTGAAGAGCTACAGGTTGAGCAGAACCAACCAATAAAGTGTGAGCGTGTGTTTGTGTGTGTGTGTGTGTGTGTGTGTGTGTGTGTGTGTGTGC